AATAAAGTTTTGTTTAAATGAGTTTTTAATTCTATAGATAATGTTTCTGATAAGTTTAAGGTCTTTGTGTAGAGCTGTTGCTTTAGGGCTAAAGGTGTAAAAAGAGTGTTTAATTATTTGTTTTTTTGCTAGAAATGTGTTGTAATAATATAAGTATAGATTTTGTATCAAAAGGTTTCTAATAATATTGTATTATCTATTTCTACAGAAATTTTATGTTGGTACATGTTAGAGTTGATTTGGTTTGAAAAATATTCTTATTTTTCATTAGACATTACTTTGTAGTTAAAAGTTTTATGTTTATATTTGTTTTTCTTTTTAGGTTTGTTTATTGTAAAAAGAAAGATTTATTGTACTATAAGCATTTGATGATTACTATTAGTGATCCATAATGAGTCATCAATATAAAATCTGTTAAGAATTGGAATTGTGTATTTACTTATCTATATGTAGTTAATTCTACTAGTGTATTAACTATTTTGTCAAGTAGCATTAGTATTATTTGTATAATTTGCCAAGTTATACATATTAATAGTATATAAATGGTTTAATAATTGATATTTAATTATATTAGATATAGTAGTTTGAATTAATGAATTAAAATTACCAAGAATAATTATGTGTAATTGTAGCTAAAATGCTTGTTGTATCTATATAATAATAGAAGATTAAGTTGATTGACAAACAATATTGTTTGTTGATAATAGATATGTTGAGATTATTTAAAATTTGTAATCATGTTTAAAGAAGAGGTCTATTGTAATAGCTCCATTGAAATAGTTAAGAATATTATAAATATATGGTTGTAAGTTATTTTTAATCATGATACATGTTCTTTCTTTAGATGTAAAGCAGTTTTATGAGTAATAAGAGAATTGATGAATATTGTAGAATTTTTTGTTTTTGGTTTTAGTTAAACTAATTATGTATAGATTATTTTTAAGACAATATTCTTTTATTAAAAGCTTTTTTTCTGGATTATTAAAATCTTGAATATTGTAAGTTGTAAGTTTAAGTTAAGTGAGAAATCAAATGAGTGGTTTGTATGAAGTCTTGATAAAAATAGTGATAATAAAGAAATAGGAAGAAATGAAGGTTGTTAAAGTACTATTGAAGATGTAGAAGGTAAGTTCAGTATTAATGCTACAGTATATTGATTTGTTGAATTAAAAAGATCATTTTGTATTGTATATAATTTTAGTAAAATGTTTAGGTAATGCTAAATGGCTTGAAATGGTTGAATAAAATGATTAGGTAAAGGTTTGGATTTAGATAGAAAGTAGACATAGGCTTCACTGTAATTATTTTTAATAGAAATAATTAAAGTATAACTACAAGCATTGTTTGATACATAATTAAAACTATGAATATATTATAGAAAAGAGTAATTGTTTGTGGATATGGAAGTAATAAAAGATGGTTATAAGTTAGGAATTTATTGTAGCATATATAGGGTTGTATAGAGCCAAAGTGTTTATTAGCAATAATAATATTATTATAACCAGATAAGATAGTTTCTACTAGTTGTATAAGTATAGTTTAAAACATAAGTAGTTGCACATCATTGTCATGTGAAACCAGAAATAGAAAAAATCTACACAGACATTATTTCAGACAAGCAAAACCATATTCTTCATTGCAATTCATTCCTGATATAAAAAAATGACTCTTTATAAATGAAGTTAATAGTACTTGTAATCTGAATATTGGTTTGAATATTAATGACAGCCTAAAACTATATTAATGAAGTCAATGTCTGACTGCTATATAGTTGGTTAGTTAGCATCACTTAGTTTTAAGATCCTACAAAATCTATAAACCATATCTGTATTTAGAAATGATCAACAAATTTTTTCTATTAAGTCTTTGATAATCAGTGATTATTATTTTCTCAGCCTGATAAAAAATTTGATGAAAAAAAATGAAAATTACTAAATATTTAGCATTGAGACCTTTAAATTTATATTGGGTTACTAATTTTTGTGTTTAAAAAACTTATTTTTATTATTCTTTGTTATAGTATCTTCGATTTTACAGATGTATATATTCATTTATATTTTTTTAAAAATGTTAAATAATAAATAAGTCATATGAACCAATCAATTCTAAGATTTTGTATACAGAAGAATTTGTTTCTGGTATTAATCTTTTAAAGTATTGTTCAGAGTGTTATATAAAGTCACAATGACAATTTACCCAATCATATATTGAGAATTGCACACACATATTAACTTGTCTGTAAACCATACATTACATTCTTTGTACTCTGTTTCTAGTATTATCTTCAAAAATAGATTTGATACATTATATATTATTAAGTACTAGAGAATATTTAGAAAGGATAAGTATTGATAGATAGTATTCATAACCAGATTATTATAGAATAAAGTGGTCAGATAAGGATTTTGGTTTATTTGATAAGTGTATATAACACTTACTATAGCCTAATTTAATCAATATTGCTAATGTAAAGTTATAAAGCTTAAGTGATATATAATTGTAAGAATGTATATGTCCAAAAAAGAAATAAAAAGTTTGTAGATGTGAAAGTAAGAGTAGGTCTAGATAAGTTAATTATTTATTATAACATAAACCTAAATCTAGTAATATATTGTATAATAGGTTTTGTGATGTTTCCTTAAAATAAGATTATGTAATAAGGTTCAAGAAGATAAAAGATTCCTCTGTAGATTTACTCATTGCATATTCAGCTTTTATAACTGTAAAAGGTGCCATAACCTGCTCTGTATATTGAATCTGACTATTATAAACTTGATTTTTCATGTAAATAAACTTTTACACCTATTTACATACATCATTTTCTTTTAAGAATAGTCCACTTGAAGTGAAAGACATTATAATCTTAAAAGTGATAATAGCATTAAAATGATCTACAGAGGAATTCATTGAAAAGGAATGTTTGTAAAAAAGAGTGAATCTTCCAGAACTATTGGTTCTTAAAATTGTAAGTTAAATTTATTTTGTAGAGTTGTTTCTGTCTCAGAATATGCTTTTTCTTGAAAATGTTTAACAATTTCAAGAAAACCATTTATACTCTTCCTTTCAGGATATTTATAATGCTATATGAGGTCAATTTCTGGCTCACTTCAAAGAAGTGAGGAATTTCACTAAGCATCAAGATGTAGATTATACCATACAGCTATCAGGTAAGTCACTTTACTTTTTAACCTGCCTATTGCAAGTCTAAATGACATCATACCATGCGATCCTTAGCTCTTAACTATAGCTATCAGGATCAAAATTCAAATAGGATCTGATTAGTTTTTCAATTATAATAACATGTTGGTATTATTCTATAGAATTAATATTTTAATTTACAGCAGACTAGCCATGTTATCTATCAACCTTTATAAGAATTTTTTAATACAATATATTTGTTCCAGAGCCTAAATTCAAAGAAATAGGTTGTCTAATCTGTGTTGTATTATTCTTAATACAGATGTATCTAGTATACTGCATTAATTCTGTAATAGGCTTAGGTTTTCAAGTCCATCTCTCTCATTGTAAAATCTTTTAGATGACTATCACAGCTACTAACCTTGGTTTCATTATACCCTTTTGGATACAAATCATTAAACCCCACTCTCTAATTGATTCCCAGAGCTCAAATTTACATAAGAGTTGGTATCATATTGAGTAGGGAAATAATAGCTTAGAAGCCTGACAGATTAGGTGTATTTAGACAGGACTTTTTACTCTGCTCTAGACTTTTAGTTTTTCAACATTCACTTTTTGCCAGTAATAAATCTTGAAGTTTCATTTGTCAAGGTGCTTCTGTGGATTATAACTCCTGACAGTCTTCACTAAGTTCTAGACTCAGATACCAAACTTTTATTTGGCCTGTCCCACAGTCATGTTTCATACTGCTTCAGAGTGTCTTAAACCTGGTCAACTTTGAAGGTAGTTACTTATAGGCCCCATCTTGCTCGATTATAACTTTTTACTAAAAACACAATTTCTTTAAATCGAATTAATTTTAGAGCTCAAAGTTTTTCTAAAAGCTACCTTAATTCGTAGTAATCCATTATATTAATAGTAATTAAACCTTCTCCATTTGAAGCTTCACAGTGAGTGCACTAGGCTCCGATTTCTTAAAATATTCTGAAGGCTCTAGGCAGGTCACTATCCCTCTGCAAAAGTGTTATGGCTTATTTTGTTTCCTAAAGAATATAGAGAGTTCATGTCTTATAATTTCAAATAATATAAACACTTACTCTGAATTGTAATCCTGGTCTTTTGCTCAGCTCTATCTAGTTACCTTACAGTCATAGGCCTTTGCTATGAGCCACTAGGTTATAACTAGAATTCACCTAGTTCTTAAACCTATACTAAGGCAGACATTAAGTGCTTCTTGCTCAACCCACAAGTTACGATGAAAAGCTTTTTTTATATTATTATTCATCATTAAGACAAATGGCTACTATAATTATTTAAGATATCAAACTCAAGGTCTGATTTATCTTATTATACTAGAAATGGTCTTAGTCCATGAACTTTAACAGCACTAGATAGATCCAGTTTGTTGAAAACACTCATTATGAGCTATGAAACCACCAAACCTTCTATCTTGAACCCTAGCTGAATTTAGAATTATCCTTATTTATCAGTTTATCTTTTATAGGGAATCAACCTATAGACCTAGAAAATGCACCGCATATGATCCATAATGAAGGCACCTAGTCATCATCTTTTTCGCTTTACATTACTTTGATGCAAGTACTAAACAGAGTGCTTAGTCAGGTGATGTTTAGTAGAGCTACTTCTTAAAATTAAAAGAGCTTATTACTAATTATTTTTCCTATTGTTTACTTACAGATAAAACACTCTCATATAGGTATATTCCAATCTGCCTACAAAGTAGGATCTATTTCTCCCTATTGGGAACCCAGAGACTGATTGGGAACCCAGAGACTGATTAGTAAGTAGGCTTAATTTTATAGTTTTTTACCAAAGGCATTTTACAACCTAATATTAATTTCTTAACATTTGAACTTTTTATCATACTCAGATAAAAATCTATAAAAAAGAGAAGTTGTCCTTTGGTGGATATACTTCATCAACCCAGTGTATTGAATTGTTGGATATTCAATCATATTATAAAGTTCAAACCTCATAGTTGTGTTAAGTAAATATAATATAGCTAAAAATCTCTCTGTCTCTCCAGTGTCACCCTCTTTCGTGTTGTTAGGTTTGTCCTTTTGGCGAGTATTACCATCAACCCAGTGTGTTAATTCTCATTAATCCATAGGCATTGCTGTCTTACCAACTTGCTCTGTATTGTTACTTTGTTGCTTTTTGGTTACTTACAAATAAGACACTTTCATAAAGCATGAGTTTTGTCTCATAGTCCCGACCTGATTTTGTTGCTCTTGAGGTCAAATCACCTCACCTGAAGGTGCAGTGAACTCTATTACTGCTTCTCTGTCTAATGATTTAAGCATTTGCTTAGAACAGTGATGACTATCTATACAAGCTTTTAAGCCTATAGTGCTTTTTGCTATTTATAAGCATTATAAATCAAGGAACATCAGGCACTAATTGATTAATTGTATAACAATTGGTAAACAATCTGATAATATTAATTTATATTCTGTTTTTCCAGTGTTAGATAGGGAATGTTGTTGGAAATTAGCTCCTCGCATTCCTTAGCAATGCTAATCCTATCAGGCAACACATTTTATTGTTAACCATTTTTTAAGAAAAGGTTTTAAAAACCTCATAGTTAAATATATCTTCTTCCAAAGCACAGAAGAATATTTTTTATAATGTCACTCAGATGACCATGGGTGCCAATATAGACACTGATAGTTGGATCTCAAACAAGACCATCTATATAGTAAGAGTATTAATATAAAAACCCTACCAAAACTCCTTTATCTAAAGTGGTATACCCCACAATTTCTATGCTGTTAAAACAGAAAGCAGCTCAGTCTATATCATTATACTGACTGTCACTAAATTGAACACATATGACCAAGCATTTTTAAGCCAGAAAAGCTGTTCAGCTTTCTAGCAAAGCAGAACTAGAACTTGTGGATATTGGTCTTGTCAAGACCCTTACCACATCAGTACTAATTTCAGCACTGGCCTGAGCCTGCTCAACTTGTTGTTGAGCAACAGCTCGTCAAACAAGACAATGCCAATATGAAACAGGGCTTCACTTCTTACGCAGCTTTTTAGCTACTTCAGATCATATAACCAGTTTCAAATCTTAGCCATTTGTCTTCCAAGCTTGGCACAGTTAAGTTGAGATTGACTAGAAAAAGATTTTTTATATATATATTTTAGCTAGCATTGCAGTGGTGGGCATCATGCATATAATCTTTAAATCATTAACAGAAACCTAATAAGTATAGACATAACTGTAATGAGCAAATGCCCTATGATAACTATTTGTTAAGTAGAGTTTGCTATTAACCTTATTCACTCCTTCATCATCTACTATGGCTGGACTTATATTGTTATCTTTCTGGATTTTCTTCTGGCACCATGTTATTTTATGATAGAAGTTGAATATGGCTAATGAGATCCTAATAACAATTATCATAATTACTACATTAGCTAAAAGCTGACCTAACATTTTCTTTTTAGCCTTTAAAGGATTCCACTTAATGCATAGCTTAAAAGATAATGAATAAAAAAAAAAGACCCATCTAGTGTTTAAACACCTTATCTATAAATAATATTAATATAATTTCAAAACAGTATTTATTATTGTATCCTGTTTGCAGGTTACAGTGCATTTAAAATTTAGTATGCATTTAGGGGCTTACACTTATGGCTGCTTACCACTATGTTATAATTATATAACTAGATTACTTTCTATCAATTCAGATGAAAGTTTATAAGAAAGAGAAATTGTTCTTTCAGTAGTTATCATTTCATCAACCCAGTGTGTTAAATACTCTTTGATCAGACTGGTTATTATTTTCAGATAAAGCCTATCTTTTTGATTTATTCTTTTGATAATCATATCTATTCAGATCATTGTTACTATATAACTCAGGCTGCAGAGCTTGTTTATTAAAATCAAAACTTTGAACTAACAAAATACTGTATAGCTATGCTCCAAACAGAAGAAGTCAAATGTGATATACTTGCTGTATATTCTGCAGTTCCATTTCCTAAATAATAAATTCAATACTAATGATGTCATATTAGAACAGTGACCTAAGCTACCCTGATTGGTTCATAACCAGTGACCTGCTTAATTAGAACAACTAGTCTCTTTAATTACTAAATAGCCATGATCTATGCTTATTTACAATGGTTCAGACTTCAAACCAATATAACATACTGGTTTTACCTTAGAAGACCAAAAACTTCACCAAAAGGTACAACAACCTTATCAAAAATGATAAATTGTTGCTTCCTTACTTTATTTCTATCAGAAATAAAGGCTTGGCACCAATTGATTAACAGTATAACAATTGGTAAACAATCTAATACTTTCGAGATAAAAATTCTACTTGTAATGATAATTTTACTATGATTTATGGGTTTACACCTATGGCTCATTTCATTAAGCTACATACTCTTTACAAGTACTAGAACTTTTTTTTAGCATCATCTTTCTGATATTAAAAGTCCATAAAATTGCATCAAAGTATTTTCCTTTAGTAAGTATAACTTATCAACTCAGTGTATCGAATCTCATCGATTTAAAGCATTGCTATCTTTTCAGCTTGCTCTGTATTGTAACTATTTATTCAAGTTTGTTTACTTATAGATAAGATGCTTTTGCACTGGCTAAGTTGGTTTTTATTATCTCCATCTAGTAGTTTTGCTCTTGATAAACTACAAACACTACAAGAAGGTACAATGGACTTTACAAAATCATTTATAAAACTGTATATTGCTTTCTGTTAAAGTGATCTTTTTTCATAATGAACAGTAACAACCATGTGTACAAAACTAATTTCTTAACTTTACACTGTTGTTTGCTACTTATCTACTTCAGATGACAGAAACTATTGCACCAATTGGTTTTAAGACAAAACAATTGATAAACAAACAAGAGGATTAATTTAATATTAAACCCTATTTGCATTATAATCTAAATTTACTTCATAACTGAAGATTAGTGTAATTGTTCTAATCCAGTACTATATCTAGAGATTAGCAGCTTCTCCGTTCAGGCCTTTATTTCTTTTTGCTCAAGATCTGAATTACTATCCTATTACCCTATCAGCCTGTCAAAAATGTTTTAAACACTGCATAGTTCTGTAAAACAGTATGGATTTGTATTACCAAATCTTAACAATATTTTAACAGCTAAATTTCAGAGTTCACAATGCTATTGCTGTTGAAATCAGGTAATACAGTGAGTCAGTCACTCCACAATCTAAAACTTTGTATAATATACAGTTGGCTTAGTTAAAAAGAGGCATTTAAATTTGGTTGGTGGTTTGGATCCTTAGGTAAGTATTTTTTCTTTACTTGTACTATGGTTTTCCTTTCTTAAGTTGTCTACTAACTTTAATTCTCAATTACCTTACTACATTGAGTAATTGAATAACACGTATAACTTCAACTATCACACTTCTTCAGATAGTTGGACTTGAGTGACCATGGCTGATCCTGGTACTTTAGGATACAACAGCTAGATAGGATGTAACAATATTACAGATTAGAACAGATAACTACAAGAAGCAGGTTTTTATAGTTTGGGAACTTAGCAATTAGTTAATATATTAAAAAGAACATTTATATATTTATTATAATGTAAGGGGCCAGTTATTATTTTAATAAAGCAAAATACTTAGGGTCTTCCTCCCCTTTCTTCATGGCCTTTATGGCCTTTATTTATCTTAAAATTCTTTATTTATATTTGTTATTCTACATCTACTACAACTACTACATCTACTATGTCTACTACTTCATTTCCAACTTATGCTTATCGGACATAGCCTTTGTGCTCTACATAGCTGTAGTAGCCTATATAGCTGAAATAGCCTAAGTGTGCCAGGTTACCCTAATTTGGAATAGCCATAGTCACATGTCATGTGACTTTCCCAGGTAATACTGTTTCTGCAAGATAGGCTTTTTTGGTATACATAACTGGCTGCTGGCTGAAGTATCAAACCTACATAAAAAGAGGGTTTTTCTGAGTGATTACTGAAATATCACAAAATGGCCTCTCTGTTAATGTCAGCTTCATTAGATTATAAACAAATAACTAGTATTGTACCAGTTTCTTAATAATAATTCATAGATTGTTTACCATCAGCTTATGTTTCAAACTATACCAAGAATGTCATTACAGAAAACCTGTCATCACCCAGGATAAACTCCTCTCTACATGCATTTATAAGATGCACTGGGGTAAACTATAGTTGTTGTTAGCTCTCAATACATGCTCATATGCAGAAGACAAAGTATAAGATACCAGAATGAATTAGCATTCTTCTATTGTATAAGGTAATAGCTTTACAATTTGAGGTTCTTTAGAACCAGTAATGTGCACTGAGTATCCCTTGTCTAAGAGGACATTCAGAGAACCCTTTCAGGTTCACCTAGACATTATAAGAATTTTTTAGTTTCTAGATATATTAATTTATATATATCTTTGAACATTTGTCTTGTTAGCTATTTTAGTAAAAGTTTTGTTCTTAATAATTTTTGTTTTGAGTTATCTGATCTATTAAGTTCAGCATTCATTATATTATTAATGTTCTTTATAACTATTATTTGTGTTTAATGTACTTATTTGATATATTTGCTACTACTGTTTTTTGTATTTTCATTCTTTTTTCATTGTTATTAGATAAAATATATAGCATTATAACTATAATCTCTATTTGTTTAAACATAAAATTGGTAACTATTATATATTTATTAACTGTCTCTATATCTTCTAACTGTTTTTCTTATTGTTTACTAATAAGCAATCTAATACCTAAACTTTTTTTTTTGTTTAAATTTTTGTTTGTTCAAAAACCCTTATATTTTTCTTGGTTAATTGTAATAAAAACATTTTTTATTTGAAATTTTTGTTTCTATTAGACCTATTATATCAATTTAATTCTTAACTAACTACTTATATAATCTTCTATTTTTTGAGTATTTCTTTTGAGACCATTGATGTTATATATTACTATATTTAACTTTATTTTGTTTTTTTATATATTTTTTTAACTATTGTTAATTATTTTATGTCTTTTTGTATTATGAATCTCTAATATAATTCCTTTTTTATTTGATTTATTTTCCTTTTTTTTCTTGTTATTGTTTTTTTTTTGTCTTTTATAAAATATCTTTCTTAATATAAAAGTTTTTTTTTGTTCTGTATTAAGATTTATATAACCTTTTTGCAAAGAGAATATACCTTTTACATCTTTATTTTTAAATTCAAATATAGCAACTATTAGAAGCAATTATAGGCTTTGTTTTACAAAAGTTTTAAAATGCTTTGTTGAGTTTCTAATCTTTTTAATTTTTCTAATACTCTTTGAAAAAGACATGTATCTGAAGTTGTACTTTTTTATTTTAATTTAGTTTCTTTTGTATCTATTTTAATTTTTGTTGTTCTTTTTTTTTTGTTCATTGCTTTTGTTATTTTTATATATTTCTATATCTAAAACTTTACTAGTATTATCTTTGTTAGTATATTTTTCATTATTGTTTTTCTGCTTATTTATGTATTTATCTTTTTTTTTCTTTGTAATTTTGTCAAAAAGTTGGTGGTTGTTAAATCTTATTGGTTTTTTTTGCTTTGCTTTTATTTCTTTTATTAATACAAATCTAATTATAGCTAATCTTCTTTGATTTTAATTTTTTTTAGATAATATATATACTGATTTTACTTTTTTTTTTAAGTATATTTTCTAGAAGCTCTATTAATCTTGTTGTAATTTGATTTTGCATATTAAATTAACTAAAATTTTTTTACTTATTTTATTCTTACTAATTAGTAAATTCCTATTAGTAGTAATTATAAAATACTTTTTCTTTTAGTTTTTTTGTTTTAATTATTGCTATTACTTTATATTTAAATATTTTGCTATATTTTATATAGACTTCTTTAATACTTCTGTACATGTAATCTACCTTTCTGTATTAATATCAACTGGCAGATCTTATATTGTTAAATATAATTTTTTTTCTAATTTATTATTTATTAAGTAATTATCTTTATTATTTTCTTCTTTTATCTAATAAGATTTTAGACTTTTTCATTTCTTTTTTTATATTTTTAAGTACTTGTTATTTTGTTTTCTTTTTTAACTTTTTAGTTCTTCTGAAATTATTTTATTTTATTTTATTTTTTTCTTAAATTCTTTCTATTACTGCATTTCTGCTAAACTTACAGTCAAAGTTTATTTCTATTCAACTATTTCTATTTTTAAATACTTTTTAAATTGATTTAATATAATAATTTTTTTGCAGGAAAAGGTCCAAGAATTCTTTCAAGACTTGACGAACTCAACTACAGAGATCAAAGACTTTCTAGAAGTAATAGTGAATACAGAATAGA